GGGCAGATGGAAAGCCCATAAACTGGACACCTCAGTGTGGTGACTCAGCAGCACTTCCAGCTGTCATGGTGAGTGCGTATCTGTGATGCCATAACTCACACCTGGACACAGATCAGACCAATGAGAAAAGGCGCCAGGAGCAGCAGATCCTCCAAATCAGGCAGAAATAAATGATGCAGAGACTACACTGGGCTTCTACTCCACTCCCTGCAGGTTAATGGAGCTCTAAACTGATACTCGGCCACCTCACTCAGGAAATGGGGAAAAACCCACAGATGCCTACCAAAAGATTCTGAAATAAAGAGAACAGAGCATTTCAAATTTGTAAAAAGGATGTATTACAGGAACAAAAATAAATTTTCAAAGGCAACTACTTGTGTTCAGGAAGATTTCTTAACATATATGGTCTAGGAAGATAAATAACAGAGCAAAATGAGAAGAAGAAAAAGCATCTGGCCAAGAGAGAAAGAAAATGGGAACCAAAGCACCTAAGGAAAAATAATAATACATGTAAAAATACAACAGCAAAATTAGTGCCTGATTAGAAACCATATAACACAATGGACTCAGTGGTGTAGAAAGCAAACATGAGAATTATTCCAACAGGTAGAGAATGAAGACTAAAATCACGAGCGAGATGGTGGTCACAATGGAAGACAGCGAGCTAAGCACATGGTTTTCTTGAGAAAGAGGTCCTGTAAGGCTGCCACAAGGAAAGACCCACAACTGTGGACCAAAAGTGGTCCCCCAGCACCAGGCAAAACCAAAGCAAAAGGACCGACACTGAGATATAGTCTAATGAAAAATCTAAATGGCAAAGGCAGAGAAAAAAATCCAAAGCATCAAAATGAGAACAGAAAGATTGCTACCTGTACAAAGGGACAATTCTGGATGGCCTTAAACTCTTGCATCAAAAAACAATGGACTGAGTGGAGGCCATTACATAAATCTGTATATGTGATTAAACTGCACCTAAACGATCCTACTATTACCATTAGAGATGGTTCCAGACTTAGAATATTTCACTTACGATTTTTCAACTTTATAATGGTGTGAAAGTGATACACATTGAGTATTACATGAGACATTCAGTACTTAGTTATAAAATAGGCCTTCTGTTAGATGGTTTGCCCAACTATAAGCTAATTTAGTGTTTTGAGCACATTTAAGGTAGGTTAAGCTAAGCTATGAAGGTCAGTATATTAGGGATATTAAATGCCTTTTCAACTTATCTTTATCAGGACATAACCCCGTTATAATTTGGGAGCATCTGTACAACTATGACACACACCCCCAAATGACTGCATCTGAAAACTGGTGAAATCTGACTAAGTTTTGTACCCTAGTTAATAGTACTTTGCCAGGGTCTATTTCTGGGTTCTGATATTATATTATCATTATATAAAATGTCATCATTGGGGACAGTTGGACAAAGACACATGGGATGTCTTTGTACTATCCTGGCAACTTCCTATGAGCTTAAAGTAAAAAGACAAGAGATCAAAGTCTACTATAGAGATCTGAAAGAAAAATGATAATAAATGAAGAATTCTGGCTCAGCGCCTATGGCT